AGGAACAAAACACGACCAGTAGAAACAAAACACGACTAGTAGAAACAAAACATGACTAGTCGAAACAAAACATGACTAGTAGGAACAAAACACGCCCAGTAGAAACAAAACATGACTAGTAGAAAAAAAACATGACTAGTAGAAACAAAACATGAGTAGTAGGAACAAAACATGACTAGCAGAAACAAAACATGACTAGTAGAAAAAAAACATGACTAGTAGAAACAAAACATGACAAGTAGAACCAAAACATGACTAGAAGGAACAAAACACGACCAGTAGAAACAAAACCTGACTAGTAGAAACAAAACATGACTAGGAGGAACAAAACATGACTAGCAGGAACAAAACATGACTAGTAGAAACAAAACATGACAAGTAGAACCAAAACATGACTAGAAGGAACAAAACATGATTAGTAGAAACAAAACATGACTAGTAGAAAAAAAACATGACTAGTAGAAACAAAACATGACAAGTAGAACCAAAACATGACTAGAAGGAACAAAACACGACCAGTAGAAACAAAACACGACTAGTAGAAACAAAACATGACTAGTCGAAACAAAACATGACTAGTAGGAACAAAACACGCCCAGTAGAAACAAAACATGACTAGTAGAAATAAAACATGACTAGAAGGAACATAAGATGACTAGTAGGAACAAAACATGACTAGTAGAAACAAAACTAGTAGAAACAAAACATGACTAGTACTAGTAGAAACAAAACATGACTAGTAGAAATAAAACATGACTAGAAGGAACATAAGATGACTAGTAGGAACAAAACATGACTAGCAGAAACAAAAATGACTAGTAGAAACAAAAAATGACTAGAAGGAACAAAACATGACTAGTAGAAACAAAACATGACTGGGAGAAACAAAACATGACTAGTAGAAACAAAACATGACCAGTAGGAACAAAACATGACTAGTAGAAACAAAACATGAGTAGTAGGAACAAAACATGACTAGTAGAAACAAAATATGACTTGTAGGAACAAAACATGACTAGTAGGAAAAAAACATGACTAGAAGGAACAAAACATGACTAGTAGAAACAAAATATGACTTGTAGGAACAAAACATGACTAGTAGGAACAAAACACGACCAGTAGAAACAAAACCTGACTAGTAGAAACAAAACATGACTAGCAGGAACAAAACACGACTAGCAGAAACAAAACATGACTAGTAGAAACAAAAAATGACTAGAAGGAACAAAACATGACTAGTAGGAACAAAGCACGACCAGTAGAAACAAAACATGACTAGTAGAAATAAAACATGACTAGAAGGAACATAAGATGACTAGTAGGAACAAAACATGACTAGCAGAAACAAAACATGACTAGTAGAAACAAAACACGACTAGCAGAAACAAAACATGACTAGTAGAAAAAAAACATGACTAGTAGAAACAAAACATGAAAGAACATGACTAGAAGAAACAAAACATGACTAGCAGAAACAAAAATGACTAGTAGAAACAAAACATGACTAGTAGAAAAAAAACATGACTAGTAGAAACAAAACATGACAAGTAGGAACAAAACATGACTAGTAGGAAAAAAACATGACTAGTAGGAACAAAACATGACTAGTAGAAACAAAAAACATGACTAGTAGAAACAAAGTAACAGTGACTCAATTAACCAAGACAAAAATATAATTAACAAGTACAAAATCACATTAATAAGGACGAAATCTAAAATCAAAGTCTATATAGAAAGATCGAAGGAATTATTGGGGTACCAAAACAACTGGAAAGTCATTGTGGCGTCAAACATTAAACCGGAAGCGGAACCTGCTACTAGCTTATGTCTGTCATCGTCAATACAGGAAAACATGAAAGTTACAAACGAATTGAGGCATCTTGAACACTTTTTTTTAAATTCTCGCGGTTTAACCAGACGAAAAATAAAAGTCCATTATTGTCTAGATTGCTGGTGCCCTACTTATTATTCAACGAGACGCCTCATAACTGGTGCCACATGGAACAAGAACAGCCTGATTCTGTCTCCGGATTGTGAGTCTTTTTAACTTCATTCCTATCTATGTTCCGAATTAGTTAAGCAGCGCACACAAAATGTACAACTATCAAACTCCACCGACATTTTTAAATATGGTGGATCTAGAAATGTTTATTTATGTTATGTCAACCGAGGAATAATGGGAGTCAGATGAACTCAGTTTTATTTAATAATCATCTAACTGATAACCCTAATTGTGCTTTTTGTGATTTTATATACAATTAGGCTGCTAATCTCTATGTAAATATGTATATTTTATTGATAACTGGCTAATTGGTTCAGCCCACCCCATCTACCGAAACTTAATATAATACATCTTCAATTTACATATCCTATATGTTTAAAATATATGTATTGTTATATTAAAAGGGTTGTTATAGACAATGGGCCAAAACGATTTGTTAATTGCAACAGTAAAATAATTTTGAAATGAAATTTAACTTCTTTCCTAATGATTCGATGTCTTTTCAGTTCTTGTCTTTTCGCATGGAATTTAATTGACGACTTTTTGTGTTGGATCATTAGTACCTTTCTACAACTATTTGTTTCTTTACGACTTTGTCGTGTATTTTGTATCCTAAATAGTTTGTCTTATTTTAATTAGCATTATAAAGTAAGTAACCATGATATGCATTAAATAAACAAACTAACAAAAATAAGTTCAAACGTATATAACGTTTATTTTTTCCCGATACTTATTGATAGGTTAAAAAGATACATTGACCACTTTGAAGAAAAAAATATAAGCTTAACACATATTGGACACAAGACGTCTGTTTTGAATATATTGAAGAAACAAAATGACAACCAAAAAAATAAAAAGAAAGGAACTACATGTTCGAAAATCTTGTGCATGTATGCAAAAACCGGGTAAACATGAATGAAAAATAAAGGGGAAAATGTCTTTAAACCTGCGTTAAAATGTTACCCTTAATTTATACTTAAACTGACATTTCATGTTAACCATGTCAGTAAAACTACAACGACAAGCTACGGCTAACCTCAGGGACCGATAACCAGACTAAGGGTCTAGTACGGTGGTGTGTATGGTAATCACTGGCAAAACACCAAGAAATGAAACACCTAATTGAAAATCCTGTTTGTTGATGCAGAAATTTAAACAAAGTTAACATTTTACAGTACCATATGGCCATTTCGTCCATAAAATATTACGACGACTCATACAGGAAACGTATAGCCCTAAGTAAGACAGTTGTTGCAGAAGAACGAACATGATTGTCATTCAAATGGCTTCTCGAGACAGAAACAAAAATTGATAACAGGGCTTTATGTCCGATTTATTAGCTCATATACTTTTAGTGTTAGAGCTTATTGGTTCTTAAACTGATGTCATATACGAGGCTTACCGAGTTATGATTTTACAACCACTCCATTTAATAATCTATATATGTCTATAATAACATCTCTTTAATATATTGTTTTCATAAAATCCGATTCCCCTGTTTATCTATTGAATCTACAGGTCATCATGTATATTATTATAGCAATACAAACAGTCCTAAGCGATAAAGAGACTGTTAGAGGGTGTTCGAGACTACCCTTCAATTCGCAAAAGATCCACTGCAAAAACAAGATTAATTAGTGTAATATAATTTAAATGGATTTCAATGTATCAGCAGCCAGCACAACACACCATAAATATCATTTTCCTGATTCGTTTGTTGAGTACATTCAGGGTTAACTCCCCTACCCCGGTTTCTTTGATGGTAGATTTTCTGAAAAGAAATTATGTATTAATTAAGTGAGTAAATAATTTCATTCGTAAATAACAGTGTTAATTTTAAAAATTGACTTTTGAGCTAAATAATAATTGTTTACAAAAGTAATATAATCTATAGTTCAGAAACAAAGAAGTATGTTTGTGTAGCGAATGTCGAGGGCGCTTTTCCTTCTGGTCTATTTCTCTTTGTACTTTTGCACATGCATATGCTGCCCGAATATTATCGACTTTGAGATTGTTGAATTGCTGTTTTGTTTACATTTCCGTATTCCAGTTTTTATTAATTTTTGTTTTAATTTCCTTAAAAGCGGTTATCGATGCATATGCCAGGAGGAAGGTTGGTATTGGATTACCCGTTGACAGTGTGCATGTAGTGTTATAATAAATGGCTTCTACAACACTAAAATGTGATTTATCCTGTGTATATCCTCTCTACCTGCTATCTCCAGACTAGGTCAGCCTGTCTAGCTTACTTCATTACCACCTGATAATGGGTCACCATACGTATTGACATTGTTATCATTCTCCACTTCCAGAACTAGTCTAATCATATCTAAGTCACTTATTTGTAATGCTGCAATTTTACGTCTTCCAATAAGGTAACTCATACCGCCGTTTCCTCCTTCTGTAGTCTCATAGGTGATGCCAATGGCCAAAACGGCGGAGAAACAGAGTGGCCAGTGCGTAAAACACCCTATTTTTTTAATTTAACAACTTGAAGGGTTTCTAGTTAATGATACAACATCGATCTATCGTAGAACAATTGTGAATTTGTATGTAGTGATTTCAATTGCTCTTCATTCCCAGAGGAACATTCCTGTCACAACATTTACTCTTAGGGATTTCCCAGTCACAGCGTTAGCACTAAGAACTTCCCGGTCAAATCATTGACACACGCTAGATTCCTTTCATAACATAATCACTAGAACTAATTATGTTGTGTCGCAACTCCCGTACAACGGTACATATAGCATTGTACAATATTTACATCAGCTTTTAAGATAGCCTCCTTCAAACCACTGATCAGGTACGATATAGAGTATGTGATGAATCAGATGGAACATCTAAAGATAACATAGTGACTTGTGGACGTCATAATTCTTTCAGTGGTCAGTTATATTGATAGATAGCTGGTCTTTATCTAGTTCACTCAGTATATCTATAAGTTTACTTATATGATATGGTACATAAACGTTATCTGCGATTAGTACTGTGTACATTACAAATTTGGCGAACATTTCTTACATGCTGCAACAATAGGTAAAATACTTAATTTGTTTTTTTCATGTGCTAAAAATACTGAGTGACGAGAATAAAAACCTCGGGGAACCTTAATTTTGAACTTTAAACCAGGTCACTATCGGATAAAACAGATACATAATAAGATAGCAAAGTTCTGATGCACTTCCGTTAAGACATACGCGTGTGAAGTACACACGTAGCTGTATGTTATAGTACGGTTGTCTGAATATCATATCGAATATATAACGATATATATTAGACAATATGCCAGGAAACGTTCCAGGATCTACTGAGGCCGCGTGGCCAGAGCTGTTCACATTACCAGCCATGGCAACTTCTTCCATGATAAAGAAACCCGGACAACTCTCCGACGAGGCCATTCGGAAGTATTTTGAAGACGTGAGTTAATCTTTTGAAAAATACGTATGCTGTTCACTTGTTGGATTTGATTCGACCTTTACGGGTGAACCTTAAATATAACGTGTGATAAATGTCAAATACGACCGAATAGACAGACAATGCAGTGCTGGACAGATGTGATAAATGTCGAATACGACCGAATAGACAGACAATGCAGTGCTGGACAGATGTGATATATGTCAAATACGACAGAATAGACAGACAATGCAGTGCTGGACAGATGTGATACATGTCAAATACGACCGACTAGACAGACAATGCAGTGCTGGACAGATGTGATAAATGTCAAAGACGACCGAATAGACAGACAATGCAGAGCTGGACAGATGAGATAAATGTCAAATACGACCGAATAGACCGACAATGCAGTGTTGGACAGATGTGATAAATGTCAAATACGATCGAATAGACAGACAATGCAGTGCTGGACAGATGGTATAAATGTCAAATACGAATGAATAGACAGACAATGCAGTGTTGGACAGATGTGATAAATATCAAATACGACCGAATAGACAGACAATGCAGTGTTGGACAGATGTGATAAATGTCAAATACGACAGAATAGACAGACAATGCAGTGCTGGACAGATGTGATTAATGTCAAATACGACCGAATAGACAAACAATGCAGTGCTGGACAGATGTGATAAATGTCGAATACGACCGAATAGACAGACAATGCAGTGCTGGACAGATGTGATAAAAGTCAAATACGACCGAATAGACAGACAATGCAGTGTTGGACAGATGTGATAAATGTCAAATACGATCGAATAGACAGACAATGCAGTGCTGGACAGATGTGTTTAATGTCAAATACGACCGAATAGACAGACAATTCAGTGCTGGACAGATGTGATAAATGTCAAATACGAACGAATAGACCGACAATGCAGTGCTAGACAGATGTGATATTTGTCAAATACGACCGACTAGACAGACAATGCAGTGCTGGACAGATGTGATAACTGTCAAATACGACCGAATAGACAGAAAATGCAGTGTTGGACAGATGTGATAAATGTCAAATACGATCGAATAGACAGACAATGCAGTGCTGGACAGATGGTATAAATGTCAAATACGAATGAATAGACAGACAATGCAGTGTTGGACAGATGTGATAAATGTCAAATACGACAGAATAGACAGACAATGCAGTGCTGGACAGATGTGATTAATGTCAAATACGACCGAATAGACAAACAATGCAGTGCTGGACAGATGTGATAAATGTCGAATACGACCGAATAGACAGACAATGCAGTGCTGGACAGATGTGATATATGTCAAATACGACAGAATAGACAGACAATGCAGTGCTGGACAGATGGTATAAATGTCAAATACGAATGAATAGACAGACAATGCAGTGTTGGACAGATGTGATAAATATCAAATACGACCGAATAGACAGACAATGCAGTGTTGGACAGATGGGATAAATGGCAAATACGACCGAATAGACCGACAATGCAGTGCTAGACAGATATGATATTTGTCAAATACGACCGAATAGACAGACAATGCAGTGTTGGACAGATGTGATAAATATCAAATACGACCGAATAGACAGACAATGCAGTGTTGGACAGATGGGATAAATGGCAAATACGACCGAATAGACCGACAATGCAGTGCTGGACAGATGTGATAAATGTCGAATACGACCGAATAGACAGACAATGCAGTGCTGGACAGATGTGATATATGTCAAATACGACAGAATAGACAGACAATGCAGTGCTGGACAGATGTGATATATGTCAAATACGACAGAATAGACAGACAATGCAGTGCTGGACAGATGTGATTAATGTCAAATACGACCGAATAGACAAACAATGCAGTGCTGGACAGATGTGATAAATGTCAAAGACGACCGAATAGACAGACAATGCAGAGCTGGACAGATGAGATAAATGTCAAATACGACCGAATAGACCGACAATGCAGTGTTGGACAGATGTGATAAATGTCAAATACGATCGAATAGACAGACAATGCAGTGCTGGACAGATGGGATAACTGTCAAATACGACCGAATAGACAGACAATGCAGAGCTGGACCGATGTGATAAATGTCAAATACGACCGAATAGACCGACAATGCAGTGCTAGACAGATGTGATATTTGTCAAATACGACCGAATAGACAGACAATGCAGTGCTGGACAGATGTGATAAATGTCAAATACGACCGAATTGACAGACAATGCAGTGCTGGACAGAGGTGATAAATGTCAAATACGACCGAATAGACCGACAATGCAGTGCTGGAAAGATGTGATAAATGTCAAATACGCCGAATAGACAGACAAGGCAGTGTTGGACAGATGTGATCAATGTCAAATACGACAGAATAGACAGACAATGCAGTGCTGGACAGATGTAATACATGTCAAATACGACCGACTAGACAGACAATGCAGTGCTGGACGGATACATGTAGATTAAGACCGAATAGACAGACAATGAAGTGCTGGACAGATACATGTAGATTGAGACCGAATAGACAGACAATGCAGTGTTGGACAGATGGGATAAATGGCAAATACGACCGAATAGACCGACAATGCAGTGCTGGAAAGATGTGATAAATGTCAAATACGCCGAATAGACAGACAATGCAGTGTTGGACAGATGCATGTAGATTGAGACCGAATAGACAGACAAAGCAGTGTTGGAATACGACCGACTAGACAGACAATGCAGTGCTGGACGGATACATGTAGATTAAGACCGAATAGACAGACAATGAAGTGCTGGACAGATACATGTAGATTGAGACCGAATAGACAGACAATGCAGTGTAGGACAGATGCATGTAGATTGAGACCGAATAGACCGACAATGCAGTGGACAGATGTGATACATGTCAAATACGACCGAATAGACAGACAATACAGTGATGGACCGATGTGATAAATGTCAAATACGACCGAATAGACCGACAATGCAGTGTTGGACAGATGTGATAAATGTCAAATACGATCGAATAGACAGACAATGCAGTGCTGGACAGATGTGATCAATGTCAAATACGACCGAATAGACAGACAATGCGGTGCTGGACAGATGTGATAAAAGTCAAATACGACCGAATAGACAGACAATGCAGTGTTGGACAGATGCATGTAGATTGAGACCGAATAGACCGACAATGCAGTGCTGGACAGATACATGTAGATTGAGACCGAATAGACAGACAATGCAGTGTAGGACAGATGCATGTAGATTGAGACCGAATAGACAGACAAAGCAGTGTTGGTCAGATGCATGTAGATTGAGACCGAATAGACAGACAATGCAGTGTTGGACAGATGGGATAAATGGCAAATACGACCGAATAGACCGACAATGCAGTGCTGGACAGATACATGTAGATTGAGAAAATGTCAAATACGATCGAATAGACAGACAATGCAGTGCTGGACAGATGTAATACATGTCAAATACGACCGACTAGACAGACAATGCAGTGCTGGACGGATACATGTAGATTAAGACCGAATAGACAGACAATGAAGTGCTGGACAGATACATGTAGATTGAGACCGAATAGACAGACAATGCAGTGTAGGACAGATGCATGTAGATTGAGACCGAATAGACAGACAATGCAGTGTAGGACAGATGCATGTAGATTGAGACCGAATAGACAGACAAAGCAGTGTTGGTCAGATGCATGTAGATTGAGACCGAATAGACAGACAAAGCAGTGTTGGTCAGATGCATGTAGATTGAGACCGAATAGACAGACAAAGCAGTGTTGGTCAGATGCATGTAGATTGAGACCGAATAGACAGACAAAGCAGTGTTGGTCAGATGCATGTAGATTGAGACCGAATAGACAGACAAAGCAGTGTTGGTCAGATGCATGTTAAATGTCAAATACGACCGAATAGACAGACAATGCGGTGCTGGACAGATGTGATAAATGTCAAATACGAATGAATAGACAGACAATGCAGAGTTGGACAGATGTGATAAATATCAAATACGACCGAATAGACAGACAATGCAGTGTTGGACAGATGCATGTAGATTGAGACCGAATAGACCGACAATGCAGTGCTGGACAGATGTGATAAATGTCGAATACGACCGAATAGACAGACAATGCAGTGCTGGGCAGATGTGATAAATGTCAAATACGACCGAATAGGCAGACAATGCAGTGTTGGACAGATGTGATAAATATCAAATGCGACCGAATAGACAGACAATGCAGTGCTGGACAGATGGGATAAATGTCAAATACGACCGAATAGACAGACAATACAGTGATGAACAGATGTGATAAATGTCAAATACGACCGAATAGGCAGACAATGCAGTGTTGGACAGATGTGATAAATGTCAAATACGAATGAATAGACAGACAATGCAGTGTTGGACAGATGTGCTAAATGTCAAATACGACCGAATTGACAGACAATGCAGTGCTGGACAGAGGTGATAAATGTCAAATACGACCGAATAGACCGACAATGCAGTGCTGGAAAGATGTGATAAATGTCAAATACGCCGAATAGACAGACAATGCAGTGTTGGACAGATGCATGTAGATTGAGACCGAATAAGACAGACAATGCAGTGCTAGACAGATGTGATAACTGTCAAATACGACCGAATAGACAGAAAATGCAGTGTTGGACAGATGTGATAAATGTCAACTACGACCGAATAGACAGACAATGCAGTGCTGGACAGATGCATGTAGATTGAGACCGAAAAGACAGACAATGCAGTGCTGGACAGATACATGTAGATTGAGACCGAATAGACAGACAATGCAGTGTAGGACAGATGCATGTAGATTGAGACCGAATAGACAGACAAAGCAGTGTTGGTCAGATGCATGTAGATTGAGACCGAATAGACAGACAAAGCAGTGTTGGTCAGATGCATGTTAAATGTCAAATACGACCGAATAGACAGACAATGCGGTGCTGGACAGATGTGATAAATGTCAAATACGAACGAATAGACAGAAATGCAGTGCTGGACAGATGTGATAACTGTCAAATACGACCGAATAGACAGAAAATGCAGTGTTGGACAGATGTGATAAATGTCAAATACGAAAGAATAGACCGACAATGCAGTGCTAGACAGATGTGATAAATGTCAAATACGACCGAATAGACAGACAATACAGTGATGGACAGATGTGATAAATGTCAAATACGACCGAATAGACAGAAATGCAGTGCTGGACAGATGTGATAAATGTCAAATACGACCGAATAGACAGACAATGCAGTGCTGGACAGATGTGATACATGTCAAATACGACCGACTAGACAGACAATGCAGTGTTGGACAGATGTGATAAATATCAAATGCGACCGAATAGACAGACAATGCAGTGCTGGACAGATGTGATAAATGTCAAATATGACCGACTAGACAGACAATGCAGTGTAGGACAGATGTGATAAATGTCAAATACGACCGACTAGACAGACAATGCAGTGCTGGACGGATACATGTAGATTAAGACCGAATAGACAGACAATGAAGTGCTGGACAGATACATGTAGATTGAGACCGAATAGACAGACAATGCAGTGTTGGACAGATGCATGTAGATTGAGACCGAATAGACCGACAATGCAGTGCTGGACAGATACATGTAGATTGAGACCGAATAGACAGACAATGCAGTGCTGGACAGATGCATGTAGATTGAGACCGAAAAGACAGACAATGCAGTGCTGGACAGATACATGTAGATTGAGACCGAATAGACCGACAATGCAGTGTTGGTCAGATGCATGTAGATTGAGACCGAATAGACAGACAAAGCAGTGCTGGACAGATACATGTAGATTGAGACCGAATAGACCGACAATGCAGTGTTGGACAGATGCATGTAGATTGAGACCGAATAGCCAGACAATGCAGTGTTGGACAGATGCATGTAGATTGAGACTGAATAGACAGACAAAGCAGTGCTGGACAGATACATGTAGATTGAGACCGAATAGACAGACAATGCAGTGTTTGACAGATGCATGTAGATTGAGACCGAATAGCCAGACAATGCAGTGCTGGACAGATGCATGTAGATTGAGACCGAATAGACAGACAATGCAGTGTTGGACGGATGCATGTAGATTGAGACCATTAAGAAGTGTTTAGGGTCGCTATCAGGATCTCCTTGAGCAGTATTTCATAATCTTGTGCGGAATGAATATCGACGTTTTCGATTATCCGTACTATTATGCGTTGTCACTACACTAGGAGTATAATTTAACCTAGATTACCATGGCTTATGTTGTTGGTGAAGCATGGAGCAGCAGCCGCTTAACCTTCCGAAACACCTGGTGTTGATTCTGTACACCTGATCTCCGTGTTCATATCTCAATTGTTCTTATTTTGTTTTAATCTTGCGGTTTTGAGTTGATTTCCTGGTGTTTTTTTATATACTATGATATTCTCTTCTTTTGTTTGTTTGTTTATTTGTTTGTTTGTTTTTGTTGTAATGGCTCCATGACGTAGAGTCACATTTAACCATCTAGTAACTTGTAAAATGCTAGATAAACCTATACAGATGGTATGTATCAGTGAATTCCATTGCAAGTCATGATAAAAAGCCATTTAACAAACGTTTCAACGACAATGATATAAAACATTGTATGATATTGTAAAAATTCTAGGGGTTTGTGATAGTTGAAGATTTCTTCACCCCGGAGGAACTAAATCCATGTAAGGAGGCCATCACGGTGGTCGTGGATGACGTGGCTAATATGCTGTTTAAGAAAGGAAAAATCAAAGGTAGGAGTGGAATAACAAATTATAAATTGCATTTATCAGATATCAGTTTATGATGTCAAGATCATCACTTGTAACTAATATATTCTTGTTACCGGCTGTGTTCAAACTCTAACTTCACAGTCAGATATATCGACGATATGCTGTCTTAAATATCACGAAATGTATTGACCACTTTGACCGTACCCTCCTCCTGAGCTCAGACCGTACCCCCCTCCTGAGCTCGGACCGTACCCTCCTCCTGAGCTCGGACCGTACCCTCCTCCTGAGCTCGGACCGTACCCCCCTCCTGAGCTCGGACCGTACCCCCCTCCTGAGCTCGGACCGTACCC